ACTTTTTGAATGTTGCGAGGACAGAAAAGGTTTCAAAAGCGGCACTTCCATGATAAGCCTTATGGAGCTCACAAACAGTTTTGAAACTTTTTCAGATGGTTATTCAACTCAGCAGTCACTTTGGCCGCATTTGTCCGATGAATTCTTTTTTGCCATCGCGTTTCAATGCACGAAGTAATTTTGCAAGTCCGGCTTGAATTGATGCGGTTGCTAATTACTCTGTTCCTCGAATTGCATCAGTGTTCTTGATATGGCAGCTCTTGTAAAACCAAACAGTTCAGCAACCTTAGTGATCGAGGCTCCTGCCATGTCCAACAATGTGCTTTTTCGAACTTGGAGGTCACGCATTTAGATTTTTTTTAATTCTAAAATGATTAAGACAGTAAATTAGATAAATAAACGTATTTACAATAGATTTTTTAAATTACGAAGTTTTAGTTAAAGTTCTTAATATAATAGGTCTTTGTTATTTTGCAAAATTTTGTTCAACCCCTGTTCATAGATAGATAGATAGATAGATAGATAGATAGATAATATTATGGTCAATATATATATATATATATATATATATATATATATATATATATATATATATATAAATTACTAAGAGGATAGAATGCAGGTAGAACTCAATGTCCAGGACAGGAATATAATATAAAAGGCTCAAACACTAATATTCCATTGTTATAATTTATTACATTGGAATCGTAATCACGATCCAATCCATCAGAGCCTCAAATTCAAAAAGCTATATATATATATATATATATATATATATATATATATATATATATATATATATATAGAGAGAGAGAGAGAGAGAGAGATTAGATAGATAGATAGATAGATAGATGCATATTTGCGTTAGCATGAGTGACATCCTGATGCCGATTCCCCTGCCACTTCCGTAATAACAGCAATACAAGAAAATCTACATAAATCCAAATTTTCAGTAATCTGACGATCTTAAACCCAGGTCCTAATTCACATTAAAACCAAATATATATATATAACTAAACACCGATGGTTTGATTATAGTTGTTAGGGCTTGTTTAGAGCTACGCACATAAATGATAACTGAATAATGATAATGATATATGAATTCAAAGAATCCTTTTATTCTAGATTGGTTGCTCACTAAGGTTAGAGAGTCCAGTCTGTTTTGCTTGTTAAACCAATTTGAGCCGACATGCCGAATAATCCTGTAGGCATGTCCACATAGCATTGTAACATCAAAAACGAAAGATTTTTTTTTTTTTTTTTTTTTTATGTTTTCAATGTTCATTGATACTTCTTTTTCAACATATAGATTTAAACTTTACTTGCCATATATAGATTTGGTGGCCATATATATATATATATATATATTCGGTGGTATAAATATTTGCGTATAAATGAAAAGCGAATGCATTAATTATTCATAATGATCTATAAAAAAGCAGGTAAAAAGATTGTCCAAATGTGTATACTATTTGTGAATTACGATATATCTAAACGGTTCATTTGAAAACCGCATGTCCAACAGAAGAAGGAAAAAGCAGCAAAATATAGTGGTAACCTTTTACTGTACCATAAATTGACGAATCTTGTGAAAAGGCAAGATTTCCTGATAAGCCAAAATGGTTTCACCATCCCAAATTCTATAGTGGTGTTTCTAGCTAGCAAAGTGACTAGCATTTTGCCAGACAATCTGCTAGCTAGCAAACAAAAAATACCACTATATAATTTGGGATGGTAAAACTGTTTTTGTTTGAAAGTGGTACGCTCACTCTTATTAACCTCTCTATCCTTATAGTAAACCTTCCTTGAATCAATAAAAGTGGCCACTATTGTTCTCATTGCAATTTGATATTTATTATTACAAGAAAACAATTCACCTGGTGAAAAGACAATTTTTGATTTTCAGTTAAAAATTGAGACTGCGACATCGGGGTATTTACCAGAAGACAACTGATGAAATCTACTACGGATCAACGCCCGCTTTTTTGCCAATAAAATCAAATATATATATATATATATATATTTTATAGACGGGAATATATATATGTTTGTGTTTTTTTAATTCAGAAACTTTCTACAAGACTTTATTTCAGATGGCGCGGACTTAACTATTAATTGAGATGGAGAAGAAGAGATTGATATATGCCTTATCCAATTGCAAATGTGCGAAAGTCTAAAAAATTGTTCTTTTTCAACGCTTCGAAGGATAAATTAATACAAATAAAACATCAAGTCCGAATGGGTCCATTTTTTTGATCCGAACGCTTTCAATATACGCATCTTCCTTTAACGATTTTCAAAATAGTTCCATTAATAAAGGGTTAACAATTAAATCAGAAATAATTTATTGTAAAGTTGTTTTATAAAATTATATAAATTTTTTCAAAACACATGGTCAATAAAAAAATGAATTTTCCA